GGGAATAGGCGGGGTTCTGGCGCATGCTCCGTCTGAATGGGCGCGGGGTGGGGCGGAGACGCATGCGTAGTGGGGATCTCCTCCCGAGGTGAGGAGCGGGCGGAATGTGGTAAACCCACGTGGGCAAAGGTAAATGTGGGCTCAGCTTTAGGATAGCTGCAGGACCCGGGCCTTCAGGATCGTGGCACAGAGCGAGTCTGGGCTGGAAGGCCAGGTACTCCCGGCCCGAGAGCTTCAAAGCCCTCTCCATTTCCGGGCTCTGCCCCTTCAGGATGGTGGTGTCTTCGCTAAAGCTCCAAGATCTAATCGAGGAAATTCGTGGGGCCAAGACGCAGGCCCAGGAGCGGGAGGTGATCCAGAAGGAGTGCGCCCACATCCGCGCCTCCTTCCGCGATGGGGACCCTCTGCACAGGCACCGCCAGCTGGCCAAACTGCTCTACGTCCACATGTTGGGCTACCCCGCCCACTTTGGACAGGTACTGGGCAGGGATGCCTCCCTTCTGAGTTTGATGAGGAAGGCTAATGGGGCAGGGTCTTGGACACCTTCACCTGCTTGTGCCCTGATTTTTTTATTCTCCAAAGTTTCTGAGCCCTCCCTCACAGCATGCACTGCCCACCTCCTTCCCTACTACAACCCCTGTAGGTCATAAGCTGGACTGAACCCTTCATTCTCTGGCCGGCCCCATTCAAGCCACCTCCTTTTCTCTCCCACCTCCTCGACTCCTGGTTCCTTGAAACTACCCACTAACTTTGAATTTCCTAAGCCTTTTCCTTTGTTGAAGGGAGGATGATGGGAAATGGTGCTACCATAAATTAATCTGGTGGTAAAGAAGATAGAAAAGGGATGTTAGTGCCTTGAGTTTCACCCCTGCCCCTTCCTGGTCTGCCCCCTTCCCTGTAGATGGAGTGCCTGAAACTGATCGCCTCCCCCAGATTCACAGACAAGAGGGTGGGCTACCTGGGGGCCATGCTTCTACTGGATGAGAGGCAGGATGCCCACCTGCTCATTACCAACAGCATCAAGAAGTGAGAGGGTTCTGGGAAGCACTTGGAATCAGGGAAATGGGAGAGTGGGAAACTGGGAAGTCCCAGGGGGCTGCCTGATGTAGGTACTGGGAAGGATGGATTTCTCAGAGCTTGACTGACCACCCTCCCGACTCTGCAGTGACCTGAGCCAGGGGATTCAGGCAGTACAAGGCCTGGCCCTGTGCACTCTGAGCACTGTGGGCTCTGCTGAGATGTGCCGGGACTTGGCCACTGAGGTGGAGAAACTGCTCCTGCAACCGGGCTCCTATGTGCGCAAGAAGGTGAGATGGCAGGACTCTAGGCACTTGCCCCTTCCCCCTGAAACTGTCCTGTTTGCCACATGTTAAAGGTGGAAGGTCCATCCTGGCAGACTCCTGCCCCTTTTTGAGCCCCCTGATCTCTGCAGGCTGTTCTGACTGCAGTGCACATGATCCGGAAGGTCCCCGAGCTCTCCAACATTTTCCTCCCACCCTGTGCCCAACTGCTTCATGAACGCCACCACGGTAAGGCCACAGGGCTCTCCATCCCCTGCCTTACCTCTGGCTATGGACAGAAGTCAAAAATAGGATGGGAACACCAGCCACTAGGAGCAGGGTAGCATGTGAACATGAACACACATACGCAGTAGACTCTCCTGTGCCCCTGGCCCACCATTCACTGCCCCCCCCCCCGACACCAGGCATCCTGCTGGGCACCATCACGCTGATCACGGAGCTCTGTGAACGAAGCCCTGCAGCCCTCAAGCACTTCCGAAAGGTGGGCTGGGCAGGCCCTGGGCCAGGAAAAGAGGGGCCGTGGGGTTGGAATGGGTCTGAAGGTTGAGAGGATTAGGAAGAATGCCCAGTAAGGCTGTGCCCTCCCTCCAGGTGGTTCCCCAGCTGGTGCAGATCCTCCAGACTCTGGTGACGACGGGATACTCCGTAGAACACAGTATATCTGGAGTCAGCGACCCCTTTCTGCAGGTGGGCTGACCTTGTCCTGCTGTATTCCTGGAACAGAGAGCCTAGCAGTAAGCCCATGGCTAGCGGCCACCTCCCAGAGAACACTTTGGGCCAGTGAGTGTCTTAGGCAGGAGGGTGGCAGGCCCAGGATCGCACAGGTCATCCCAAGACCAGTGCGGGAAGCGGGGGATACCTAAAGGTCAGAAATCCAGTTTGGTAACAACAACAACAAAAAGCCTGTCTCCAAATCCCCTGGCCTCACAATGCCTCTGCTCTCCCAGGACCCAAGGGACCTGTGCGGGGGGAGGGAGAGGGAAGCTCTAGGAAACCAGCCAGGCCCCTCACAATACTTTCTTCGGTGCTGGATTTTTCTCTTCAACCCAACTCCTTACCCTTTGAACCCCTCCACCTTTCAATTTTTAACCCATCTTAGGTCCAGATACTTCGTCTGCTTCGGATTCTGGGCCGGAACCATGAAGAAAGCAGTGAGATCATGAATGACTTGCTGGCCCAGGTGGGGGGCTGGAGAGTGGGCACTGGTTAGGTGTGTGGCTCTGAGATCTTACCAGCCCCAGGCACCCCTCACATGACCACCCACCCCACGGTGGCCGTGTAATCACGTCTCCGTTTCCCTCTAGACTGTGATCTCCATGAGGACAGGGACACGGTCTGTCTCAGTGTGGTAGCCCCTGGCACATCGTGGGGGCTGGGGGAACTTTGTTAGATGATGAAGGGATGATGTGGTGGGTACCTTCCAGAGACCTGAGGAGAGGACAGAGCCCCTTCTAGTTGCATCTTCTCTCCCATCCACTCAGGTGGCCACTAACACAGACACCAGCCGAAATGCGGGCAATGCAGTCCTGTTTGAGACAGTGCTGACCATCATGGACATCCGCTCTGCAGCCGGCCTGCGGGTATCATCCCATATGCCTCTCCCACTGCGGCCCCACCCACCAACCCCAGCCAGGCAGACAGGTCCTATTCACTGGTTTCTCCTCCCCACCCATCATCCTGTGCCCTGCAGCCGGCACTCCTTAACAACGTGCTCGTTCCCTGACTGTCCTCAACCTTTGCCTCCCGTAGGTTCTGGCTGTCAACATTCTTGGCCGCTTTCTGCTCAACAACGACAAGAACATTAGGTAATCATCCCAGGTGTCTGGCTGGGCTGTGCCACTGAGCCCCTGGTCCTTGGCCCTCCTCCTTCCAGCGTCTCTTGCTTTACCTGCCTCTTATTCCAGGGCTAGGACGGGATGGGGCAGGGAGGGGGCTGAGGACCGCGGTGTGATAGGTCCTCCCCTCCTCTGGCCAGGTATGTAGCCCTGACGTCATTGCTGCGTATGGTGCAGTCCGATCACAGTGCTGTGCAGCGGCACCGGCCCACTGTGGTGGAGTGTCTGCGGGAACCCGATGCCTCTCTTAGCCGGTGAGGAGGACAGAGGAACGAGAAGGCAGGGCAGAGGGCCCAGCGCCTGGTAGCCGAGACCTGGACCGGGCCAGAGCAGCTGAAGTAGAGGGATTAAGGAAACAGGTGCCTGGAGAAGGAAGGGCCTGAGGCCTAGCTCAGGGTGACCTGGCTACCCTGTATTGACGACGTCTTTCTCCTGCCAGGCGGGCCCTGGAACTGAGTCTGGCTCTGGTGAATAGCTCCAATGTGCGAGCCATGACACAAGAGCTGCAGAGCTTTCTGGAATCCTGCCTCCCTGATCTACGGGCCGACTGTGCCTCGGGCATCCTGCTGGCAGCAGAGAGGTGAGGTGACAGGTGCCCAGAAGGCAGAGACGGTAGAATCTGGGGAGGGTCGGTACCGGGGCTGAAGAGGCTTATGTTCCCTAGGTTTGCCCCAACCAAGCGCTGGCACATAGACACCATCCTGCGTGTGCTGACAACGGTGAGGCAGGGACTGATCTAAGAGAGCTGGGAGGGAGTGGGCAGGGTTCATCACCCTGAACCCTTGGCCACATTCACCCCCTCCAGGCAGGCACCCATGTACGGGATGATGCGGTGGCCAACCTGACCCAGCTGATTGGGGGTGCTCAGGAGCTACACGCCTACTCTGTGCGCCGCCTCTACAGCGCCCTGGCAGAGGACATCTCCCAAGTACTGTTCCCACCACCAGACCCAGGGCTGCCCAAGCCTCCCAGCCCTTCCTGGGCCACCTACTCCCTATACCTGATGCCCCACTGTTTTTCCCTGGAGGTCACAGCTACCTGTTTAATGGAGACACTCAAGGACAGAGCCCTGTTTTTAGTTAAACACCGGGACTTCTGTCCTGGCTCTAGTACCTACTGGCTCTGTAACTGCAGTTGACTAATTTAAGTCTCCTTCCGCCCAGTGTACTCAGCTCTCTACCCTGTCTGCCTCCCAGAGCTATCTTGACGATCAAATTGAGATAGAGCTCTTTCTTTGTGTGTATCGGGTTTTTACTACCTTGAATGCTGAGTGGATTAACAGAAGCCAGCCACTATCTATCTACCGTCTTTTTTCCATATTACTTAAGTAGGGTGGGCAGAAACCACGTATACCTTCCTCAAGGCGGGGACCCTCCTGCTTGGTTCTCACCCAGCTCCTTTTGGAGGGGGGCATGTAGTTCTGACGCTTGGCCACCAGAGGGCAGAACACATCCAGGAGCCAGGACAGAGCTGGCAGGGCTGGGGGGACGGACCAACTTACAAAACTGTGCAAGAGCCTTCCCTTTCCCCACCTCTCCAAACCCCACAATCTCTGCACTGCACAAAGGGATGTCACAGGGCGTGGAAGTGGGGAGGGAACCCAGAACCTGGCCTGGCATCTTTCTTGTCCCACGCAGCAACCACTGGTGCAAGTGGCAGCCTGGTGCATTGGAGAATACGGGGACCTCCTGCTGGAGGGGGGCTGTGAGGAAACCGAGCCCCTTCAGGTGAGACCGACCTCGGGAGTACACTGAGGAGGGCCTCAGCGGGAGAGGCAAGATGCCCCACAGTTACTGCCTGTGTCCCCGCAAAGGTGGAGGAAGAGAAGGTGTTGGCACTCCTGGAAAAGGTGCTGCAGTCCCATATGTCCCTACCGGCCACCCGAGGATATGCCCTGACAGCCCTCATGAAGCTCAGCACCCGGCTCCGTGGGGACAACAAGTAAGAAAGGGTCCCGGCCCCTCTTCTTGGTGCCTCCGGTGACAGATGTCCCTTCACTGTGCCCACCAGTTTCGGAGTTTCTCTCCGTGCACACACCCCAAGTCCCCCAGTCCTTAGGTTCTTCCTCCTGAGCCAGGTGTTGTGGGTACCCCCCTGCTCTGTGCAGCCTTTCCCTTCTGTGCCACATCCTGGAGTTGAAGGGCAGGCTGCCCTCCCACTCACACGCCACCCTGTGGCCCAGCCGCATCCGCCAGGTGGTGTCCATCTACGGGAGCTGCCTGGACGTGGAGCTGCAGCAGCGGGCCGTGGAGTACAACACGCTCTTCCGGAAGTACGACCACATGAGGTGCGACTGTCACTGTGCCGCAGTGTAGGACCCAGACCCCTGCCTGTGCCCACATGGCCTCTCCCCAGTGCCCCTTTCTGGGTACAAGGGTCTCATCCTCCCCTTCGTCCTTCCTCCTCCACAGTCAGAGCCTCCCACCCGTAGTTGACTGTAGCCAAGGTGGCTCCCAGCCCTCCTCGCTCACCGCAAACCAGCCACAGTGTGCCGGTCTTAGGAAATCAGAAAGGCACTCCGACCCACCGTGTGCCCAGGGTTCTGCATGGTCTTAGCCATCCTCCCACATGCTTCTTATGAAAAGCCCGGGGTCCCCCCAGAGGGACACACCTGTGTTCCGTCCTCTCAGGGCTGCCATCCTAGAAAAGATGCCTCTTGTGGAGCGAGGTGGAACTCAGGATGAGGAAGCAAAGGAAAGCAAAGAGGCCCAGCTTTCGGAAGCAGCCCTTGTCCCCACAGAGCCACAGGTGAGAAGGCCGGAAGCCCCCGAGGGAAGAGGACTTGGTCTGCCTTCCACACCTAGCCCTGCTCCTTCTGCCCTTTCCCCCAGGCCTCCAAGCTCTTGGATCTGTTAGATCTCCTGGATGGCACTTTTGGGGCTACCCAGCCCCCACCTGCTCTGGAACCCTCCCCAGGAGGCACCTTAGTACACCTCCTCGACCTGCCCTGTGCGTCTCCAGCCCCAGGTAAGCCTCAACAAAGGGGAGACGGGAGACGTCTTAAGAAAGGGAGGGGTGGAAATGTGCTGCTTCTCCTTCTTTGCCAAGAACTGGGGTCTACGTGCCCTCTTCCATGCTGTGAGTCTCCCATCACATCCCCATCTTGATAAAAGAGTTCATTAGCTTGTGCCAGTTCCCTCCTGGATACCCCTCAATGCCTTCCCTTTGTTCCAGACTTCGTATCCTGGCCTATGGGGGCCAGCTTCCTCCCAGCCCATCTCCTACACTTTCCCACTCCCTGCTCCACTGGCCCCTCTCAGTTCCTCAGACCGTCTCGCCCAAAACCCTTGGTAATCTGTGCTCCTTTTACATGGAATGTTCTGTTCCGTTTTGTTTTGTTTAGATTTTATTTATTTGAGGGAGACAGAGAACATGAGCAGGGTGAGGGGCAGAGGGAGAAGCAGACTTCCCCACAGAGCAGGGAGCCCAGTGCGGGGCTCTATCCCAGGACCCTGGGATCATGACCTGAGCCGAAGGCAGACGCTCCACCAACTGAGCCACCCAGGCGCCCCTACGTGGAATGTTCTTGCCCAGCACATCAGATGACTGGCTCATTCTCATTCTTCAGGCCTCAGCTAAAATGTCAGATACCTTCCCCTACCATTCCTATTTAAGTTATTCCTCCCAGTTACTCTGACATAGTTTATTTTCTTCATAGCACCAAGTAGTCTGTGATTATCTTGGTGGTTTTCGTGTTTATTGTTTTCTCTGCCCATTAGACTATAAGCTCGGAATAGGGACTTCATCTTCTTGTCCACTTTGTCACTAGCATCTCAAGCACTGCCCTGCACCCAGTGGGCGCTCCCTTAATTTCTGTTGAATGAATGAACTTGTCATCTTCCCCATACATTGAGCTGCTTCCCTCTCCATACTCCAGCTTCCATCCCAAATCTCAGAGTGTTTGAGCGTGAAGGACTGCAGCTGAATCTGTCTTTTGTTCGACCCCCGGGAACCCCGGCTTTGCTCTTGATCACGGTCACTGCTGTCAACACCTCAGGGGCTGACGTCACCCACTTTGTCTGTCAGGCTGCTGTGCCCAAGGTTTGTAGAGGACCAGGGTTTGAGGCGGCCTGGGCAGTCCGGAGAAAGGCTAAGTAGAGGAGGTGGGTGGAAGAATGAGACAGGAAGGGAATGATGTGCAGAGGTAAGCACTTGGGGTGTTATGGGAAGAGGGTGTGAAACTCTTGGGTGTGGAGGGGCTGCCTGAGCCCAGCTAGTTGCCTTACTGTGCTCTGCCCAACCTCTTGTGTTCAGAGTTTCCATCTGCAGCTACAGGCCCCCAGTGGGGACACAGTCCCAGCTCAGGGTGGCCTTCCAGTGACCCAGCTCCTCAGAATCCTCAATCCTAACAAGGTGAGCTCAGGAGCACCCACTCCCTGTTGATAAGGCCCAGGGACAGAAATCACAGGAGCTAACCCTGGTCTCTACTCTCCTATTCCTAGGCCCCCTTGAGGCTAAAGCTGCGCCTCACCTACAACCACTTTGGCCAGTCGGTGCAGGAGATCTTTGAGGTGAACAACTTGCCCGTGGAGATGTGGCAGTAACTCAGCCTCCACTCAGTCTGAAATCCTCCTGTGTCCCAAACTCCCCAGGGTCTCGGCCACTTGGAGCCTGTACCTGACGACTACCAGCAGGTGGCTCTCTGGTCCTACGTTTGCCTCTGCAAAAGGGGGGGGGGGTCTCCACCCCCCATAAATAATAAAAGCCCAATAAAGCCTGAGGGGGAAGACCATATTTGGGCATATTTGAGATAGAAAACGTTTACAAATCATAGCAAGGGAAGGTTGTTTTTTTTTTTTAAGATTGTATTGTTTATTTGAGAGAACGAAAGCAAGAGAGATCACAGAGGGAGAGGGAGAAGCAGACACTCCACTGAGCAGGGAGCCCGACGCGGGGCTCCATCCCAGGAGCCTGGATCATGACCCGAGCCGAAGGCAGACACCGAACCAACTGAGCCACCGCGACGCCCGGGGAAGAGTCTTCTTATCCAGGATGTCTGTATCTTCCCTTGAGCCTTAGGAACTTGTTTGAACAAAGACGGGTTCTTTTTACCGTCTCCAGGTTGGGGAGCAGATTTGCCCCTAAACCTCCACAGGAGGCACTCTACCATCTGGGCCAGAGTAGGGCACAGCAGCAAAGTGAAACCAGAACTTCCAGATGTCTAAAAGGGATTCCCACCCACTTCCCCAACCTGCTGCTATTCCCCACACCCCAAGGCAGGGAAGTCCCTGCTGCCTCCCCTCATCTCTAACTCAGCTGTCAGGCGGTTTAGGAGGCGCTGGCAGAATCAATGGCATCGACCAAGGGAGGGGGGGTGGCAAGGGATTTTCCTGTGCTTAACTACTGATCACGGCTAAGTGGAAATCCTATAAACACGAGCGGAAATCAATGGAGGCTGCTTAGCGGCCAGGGGAGAGGGGGGGCCCACAGATTGCATCTGACGGATGAGGGAGGGGGCAGCCAGGGAGGGCTCAAGGAAGGATAGCTGAGGGTAAGGTGAAAGAACAGGCAGAGCTGGAGAGAGAGGAGTCACTGTGGGAAGGAGGCCAGGGGAAGAGGCACAGTGTGCTCAGGAAGGACCCCTGTTAGACCCAGAGTTCTCTTTGCTGTTGAGGAAGTGACACCCTAACCCAAGCTGCTGTTTGGAGCTTTAGTCCCCTGTGGCCTCTCTCTGGGGCTGTATACTTCTAGCAGGTGCTGGTAGTCCTGAGGCCGGAAGCGCTGTAGGTGCATGATCACCTTGGCAGGTGCTGTCTCCTGCGCCAGCACACCTGCAGGCCAAAGAAGAAATGAGGAGAGAAGCAGAGCTGTAAATGCTTTGACTCTGCTCCCTGCCCTCATAGCCAGACCCCAAAGTTGATTCCAAGGCAGCACTGGGATTCTGAATGCCATCCAACCAGTTTCTGTAACCCACCAGCGCACACCCTGATTGGCCTGTGCCAGTGGGGCCTACAAGGGCCACGTCGGGTAGGAGTGAGGCTGGGAAGCCAAGCATGAACCGCTCCTCCAGCAAGGAGAAATGGTGAAGAGGCGCTCAGGTGCCGTGTAGACAGAGGGTGCCTCCATACCCACTCTTTTCAGTTACTGCTCCTGTCCCCCAGTCAAGATGAAAGCCCATGTAGGCAGGCCAAAGCTCATTAGGTTGATGATAAAGCACATGCAGAGATGCGCACAGAGAAACAGGGATAGAGAAAGGAGAGAAGCAGCAACAACCATGGGGTGGGATTCATATAGAATTCTAGCCTCTATATGGTATGGAGCCGTGATAAGTCAGTGTCTTATTGTTAGAGCCTGGCAGCATGCTGGGCATATAGCAGGAAACTCAACTCTGTATCTTTGCTGAGAAAGCAAGAGCAGCACTCGGCCACTTTTAAGTCCTCATGGGATGCACAACCCCATACTGCTGTGGCTGAACTGTCTACAGAACAATCTGCCATGACTTGTCCTGTTGTCTGTCACATAAATACAGTGTTCTTGCCTTTTCCTCAAAGCCAACAGGACAAATGAAATGATCTAGAGAGTTGTAAAAATAAGAGGACAGGATTTGGGAGAAGGAAGGATGGATGGAAGGATTCAAGCAGAGAACTGACGCAAACTTGGAACGGCTGGAGGTGTGAGAACTAAATGAGGCAAGGACTAGGGGAGACAAGGAAGGATCCTATCCAGTTAGGCAGCTTCTGTAAAAGCAAACTGGGCCCTCCAAAAAATTGCCAAGACAATCCCCGTTACAGAAATAACACCAAGACCCTCCCCTCTAGCTGGTTCAGTGGGTACATCCAAAAGAGCAGTAGGGAAGGCAAGGAAAGCACAAAAGGGCCTGTCTCCCTCACCGAGCATGCTGCTGAGGCTGTTGATCTTGTCTAGGGCAGCTGGGACCTCAGCCTTCTCGTGCACCAGGGCTTCTACCTCACCCACAGCGTAGCCAAAGTCGGCTGTATCCAGGTCCACCCTGAGCGGAGGCTCCTCTTCATCAGCTCCGGATAGCACCAGCTTCCAGGCACTACGCTTAGTCACAAAACTAGCTACTTCCTGCAGCCCCAGTGGGCCCAGCACAACAGCCACACTTCCAGCCCCCAGGATGTCAGCCCCCAGCACCTCACAGAGCTGGGCCACAATTGCAGGCTCAACTGTGAGTTCCACATACTCAGTGTGAGGTCCTGCGACCACTGCCACGCCCGGATATTTGAGCTCCCATCCGCTACCCTCTCGCTGTCGCAGCCAGTGGTCAGCCCGCATGAGGCTCAGCTCAGGGGTATCATAGTAGCTGTCCCGGAAGGTGACCCGGTGCTCCAGGGTGCCCCCCAACTCCTGCAGCCGCTTCTCTGTGTCAGGGCCAGGAATGAACTTCCGCTCCACCTCAATGAAGGCCTGGGCCATGCTACCTGCAATCACTAAATCAATAAACATTTGCTGAGCTCCCAAGGGTGCTCAGCCTTGCAGGGTCACAATTCGGCAAACCGCCCCCACCCAAGAAGAATTTATGAGGCACACGCTGTCACCGAGCTCTGTGTTGGGGCTACAGCTCTTTCTCCCTGCCTCAGTGATGCATGGCCCCCGTCTGGCTCTGGTATCTTAAGGTTCTGCAACGGTGACAGATACCCTTACACCCTTGATGATGTACTCAATCCAAAGGGTTCCCTAGAAAACTGTAGTGGGTGTCTTCCTTTCAACACTCGCCCTCTATACCTAGCTACCCCAGGTGGCCAGGGGCTCACTTCGCGCAACGACCCCGCCCTTCGCCGCAGCACCGGCCCGGCCCGCGGAGCCTCGGGTCTCACCTCAAAGCCCGAGGGTCTCCCACTCGCGGGACCTGGAGATCGGCGAGGGGAGCCTACGCCACGCCCGCGAGGAATGCCGGGAGCAGTCCCTGGCCTTGGACCTCGGCCCGGATCTCTGCGAACCTGGGGGGTCCCAGCACGAGCGGCCATATTAGGCCCAATGTGGCGGTGCCGAGGACGGGCCAGGGATCGAGAGGCCCGCTACGTGATGGGGGTCCGCGACCTCAGGGGTGGGCCGGGAGCGCAGAAGTCCCCCGGCGCTCTGCTCCTCCTGCCTGACCCCTGCCGGCTCCCGGGGGTCGGCCCGGGTCTCAGGCCTCAGGCTGAGCCTGACACCTTGGGGCCCGGGTGCATGATGGGAGGTGTAGTTCCAAGGGGAGATTTTGCTTTCTCGCTCCACCCTGTCGCTATGGTGACAGGAAAGCTGCGGTTACTGCCCGCGGGACGCAACCTAAAGTTGAGCAGGGGCGGTGCGGACGGCCTGATGGAAGAAGCCGAAGCCCAGTCGGGTCTCCAGCCCCTTCACTTCCTAGGCAAATAGGCCTGAAATCCAAGCCACTTAGACGCTGTCCAAGAGATATTTTATTGACTATTATGGCGGCCCACGGAATACAAGCGAGTGGTAATGGGCTGCAAAGGGGGATAACTAAGACCAGTTTAACTACTCAGGAGTTTTAGAGGGGATAATACACCCTGCAATGAGTGTTTAGGGTAAGGTTGAAAACTTTCAGAGAGGGAACGGTGTTTTGGATAGGAACAAAAGACACGACAGGATTTCAACAGACACCCAGATGGAGACAAGAACAGCATGAGCAAAGACCAAGAAGCTGGAGAGCACCTGGCCAGTGTATAAGAAGGAGATGAGGCTAGAAATACAGTTGAAGGGCAGGGTGGAAATGGCCTTGAGTGCCAGCCTGAGGAATTTGTCACTGAGTTGCCAGTGGCCCCTGAGCAGGCTTTGTCTGGAGTGGGAGAAACTCTCATGTTTGCTTAAAATACAGGAAGATGTGGGGGTGGCCCTTTGACTGCTTTGGGAGATAAAATAAAGAAGAGCTCCTTCTTAATCTCTCTGAGGGCTATGATTACCTGGAGACTGTGTGTCTGACCCTCTGGGTGAGGTAGCTTGCTGAGGAACAGTGGCTCTTTTCAACTCCTATGATAGGTGAGAAGTGCCAGGTTCTTAACATCTGTCATCTTCCCAGTATGTTTCTGGAAACAAATGACCTGTGGGAAGTACTGTGGAGAGGACACTGATTTATAGACATAGCATCTTGAACTTGGGATGTCTTGAATGCATCTCTCTTCCACTCCATAACAGGCACCAGCAGTCAGGGAGGGGAGGGCCCCCAGCCCCTAGCTCCAATCACTGGCCTACTTTTCATCCATCCTTCGATTTTCAGTTTTCTTCCCTGGGGAAAAAGACCTCTTCCCCTGAATTATAAGGTCCTCTTCCCTGAGTTATAAGGTCCAATTCAGTGGGGCAGAGGGCAGACTCAGGAACCAGACAGACCTGGGGTTGACTACCAGCTTTGATTTCTAGGTGTTTGGTCTTGGGCAGGTTACTTCACCTCCCCAAACCTTTCATCTCTCCTTGGTAAGATGTGGACTGCCACAGTTATGGGTGGGGATTCAATGATAAATGGTCACATCATAGAGCCTCAAAATGTTAGTTTCTTTCTCCTTCCTCTTTTCCTATAAACTCCAAGGGTTCGTTAGTTCGTTCTTTCTTTCTTTCTTTCACTTTTACTTTTAAGAGAAGTAGTTTATAGCAGCTATTGTGAGCTCTGGAGTCAGACCATCAAGGTTTGAAACCTGGCACTGTCACTTACGGGCCATGTGACTTTGGGCCACGTAATTTCTTTGTGGCCTAGTTTCCTCAACTGTAAAATGGGACTAGTTGTAAGGATTAAGCAAGTTAATGTACATAAAAGTGCTTGCTTGGAACTGTTCTGTG